TCATGCCTTACCAGTTTCAAAACTTCCTCCTTGTTTTTTGCAGAGAGAGACATGTCGGTGTAGGAAAGATTCGCATTCCGAATCTTCTTCTCCAAAGAGTGACATCGAGACATATATGCCTGTCACGAAAAAATATATGGATCACTGTACTAAGAGAATGCGAGCTTATTCACAAATGAAAAGCGTACCACAAGAGCGGAACTGGTCTTGTTACGTTCCTCTTCTTCATCGCGCAGACATGCCTCTAGATGGTCGATTCGTTGAAGAAGTGCTTCCACATCGCAGCCCCCTCCCACAGTAAACGTCTAAAAAAATCTTGATGAACAAGAGCAAAACGTCACCCATCAACCTCGAATTCAAATAAAAACTCAACTTCTGAGATGTTGTTTCGTTGATCGCAGCAACTTTTTCCTCGAATTCTCTTTTCTGGTCATCAATTTTCTCACGAAGCGCCTTGTTCTCCTTTTCCAGTGCAGATACACGCTTTCGAAGTTCTTCAGAAACTCTGTGAAAATACACAATCTTGCTCAGAAGACAATTTAAACGCCCGAAGGAAAAATGTACAAATGATATAGATGCAAGGCCATGCATAATTTGCGACCGTCTTACAGATCGAGTGTGAAACAGATACGTACTCATCGAGCGATCTTGCCATTGTGTGATCTTATGACCAATCTGCATCTATTCCACACTCGAACTGCAAAAATGCGAGGCACCAGCAAAGCATGATCGCGGTCTAAGACTGGCACGGCACAGGTCACAATTGCGCGAAGGTCGCAAAGTTCAACGTTAGAATTCAACGCAATTTCCTTGTCGCAGTTGTATGTAAAGATAAAAGGATAAAGCATTTGCCGTTGATCAATCCCTTTTTGGGATGCGGCACGCATTCTACTTCCATTTGTACATTCGTAGTGGCGTTTGAATGCGATGTGGCCTATACAATGACTTGCGGGGCCAGCCGATGTACAAGTCAGTGTTTTTATCCTCCCAGACAAGTCTGGTACCAATTAACCGACCCCGGAGGGATGGAAGGCTTGGTTGGCCCGGGCGACTCACGACCCAGGATTTGATCCCCGGACCGCTCGCGTGGTAAGCGTGCCACTTGCCACTACACCACTTCCGCCCCCCCCCCCCCTTTGTATGTATATACCATGAACAATTCACTGTATTTTCTTCTACATGCCAATTATCTATCCCTCTCGCTTTGACCGCGGTCATACTTTACGATCTCGCCTCGCAGTTCGTTTTGCAGTAAGCACGAAACATGTAGCTATCAACCATGCGATTCAGCGATCGCCCGATCGACGTGTGATCGATACGTGTCTATTGCGCAAAACTCACAAAACCGTAAAATCGTAAGATCACCAACTATGACCGCAGCCTAACACAATGACATCACTTAAATATAAAACCCACAGCATATATGAACAGACCCAAAGCTCAAGAGTAAAAATTAAAATATGAAGCTCACATATCGCCTTCCGAACGTATGGTCCAGTCACTATCATCGCCCTTCAAACCATCGATACTAGTCGGCAGCTCTTCCCACTTGGCGATCTCCGCTTCTAACGCTTTGATTTGTTCTTTATACTGAAACGTTACGTGAAAAGTTTTGCAAGCGACTGCTTTAATTTCCCTTGTATTACACACTTGCTCAATTACGATTCGACTATTCCTCTCAGATTCGTGTAATTGTCTTTCCAGCATATCGATCTTCGTTTTGGCTTGAACCTCAATGTTGTCCAATTCGAGCTTGAATTGATTCCTTTCTTCCGCCATCTGTCTGCGCTCTCCTTCCAGATCAAACTTAGACATTTGTAGAGAATAGTACTGGAATAGCCTATATCAAATGAAGCATAACCATCATTCACGACTGTTACTAAATCATAATTGAAAATAAGGAGGAAAATACGAGAGCATCGGATGATATTACACAGATTTTGAGATGTAAAATAAATATCTTAAAACTTCGCACATTTTCGTCGTTCTTACCCGACGCAAGCACTTTCAAAACACGCGATGGACCACAATAAATTGGGATGTCCCACCAAAATGGGAACCTTTCTCGAAATTTTTACACTGTAATATAATCGCTGATATATTGGGTCGTCCAGAAAATCCTGCGACACTCGAACAAATAACTTCAGGTGAAAATCAAAACCCTTTTCAGTTGTTTTGGCATTTGATTACTGTAGTGTGTCTTCGAAGGTTCCAGCAGAAGCGTACATGAAGGCTTCAAGCAGCGTTTTACAGCTCCAAACTTCTCTCTGAACTGAGCCATCTTTTGACATACTTTATTTCTCGAGCTCCTATGAAGCCACTCTGCTTGCATGCGTTGCAGCTAGTATCTGTATTGTGCTGTATTCAGGAAATGAATCCCTCAGGCCATAGGGTGCCGTTGTTCCTAAGGCTTCGCATCCGGAGATATTTGACTCAAAGTAAAGCACTGCTCTGGTCGGCTGTAGGTGGTGAATGGTGAGCATTTGCTCAACTTCCCAGAGGCGCAGCCGATTGCTACCAGTCGTGAGTTAGCAACAACGCTGAGGTGCACTAACTGACAGCTATCGAGGATCCCTACGTTCTTGGTTACAGGGCAGCATGTTCGCAATGGGTACCACATGGGTTGCGCCAGTCTGGGGAGGCGAAGTGTGTGACCATGGTAGATTTCTCTTCTTTCTTCGCACCAAAGGAATCTCTTGACAAAAATGAAGATTAAGGAAGATAGCTCAAGCTTTGAGGAAACTGCGCACATGAGCTCTATTGGATTCGACTGAGAGTGAAGCTGCCTGCAGAAACCGTAGAGAAGGGTTTTTAGTGTTTTTGATGAGGTTGCAATTTGATTCTTCACAGAAAGCTGCTGGATACCTGCACCGCGGTGATGACCATTGTCGGCTCTAACTACCTCTGAAATTTGGCCGAAGCCATGCGTAAAGTTCACCCAGAAATGCACAACATTGTGTTACCCACCCCACGCATATCTACATGTGACAAAGGATTACATATCAAAAGATCATGGATTTTGATGGGAAATTTCGCAGTACTTGGCTTACTCGCCGGGCTTAGCCGCTTCTAATTAGGATAATTAGTGCCCTGAAGCGTCATCTAGAAGATAAAAAATCCGATGACTGAGGTCAACTCGAAAATGGGATCGATCGCTTCTTTCAAAGCAAACGCCGGAATCCTAAAGTAAGAGAGTTGAGAAGCTGCCCGGAAAAAGTGCTTGTCTCCTATATTGTAATGGTGGTAGTCTGCTGATTGAATATTTCATTCAACAAAAGAAGGTGCGCAATCGAAAATCTTGAACAAATTTTTAGGATTTTCTCTCATATCTATATTATGATTTCGTCAATATAAACGCCGAAGACAGTAAAGATTCAGTAGATGAGTTGACTAATAGCTAACATCAAAGAAGTTACTGTGCATTGGCAGCCGAGTAACCGTTTCTTCTTTTCAATGGTGATTTTGGTTGTAATGTGCATTATCGGATGAAAAGCCTTCAATTTTGTCGAAAGAAGTCACGATCAGTAATTTGTCTATTAACAGAACTGAGCTAAATTTCAGGAAGGAAGGAGGATCGGGAACTGCTGTCGCTCCTTAACAGATGAAGGTAACCAACGATCGTGCAATCTGAGTCCTTACTGAGCCGTGTGTGAGCCCAAAAGACCCAATAGAAGGTGAGCCCCCTAATACTAAAGGTTAGCTGCAAAACCCTTAAATGGTAGAAAAACTAGTTGCTGTTAATGGCGGAGCATGCCAGCGTAACAACTATTAAGCATCCAACACCACCCAGATATCCAAATGTATGGAAAAAATAAAAGGATAAAGCATTTGCCGTTGATCAATCCCTTTTTGGGGCACGCATTCTACTTCCATTTGTACATTCGTAGTGGCGTTTGAATGCGATGTGGCCTATACAATGACTTGCGGGGGCCAGCCGATGTACAAGTCAGTGTTTTTATCCTCCCAGACAAGTCTGGTACCAATTAACCGACCCCGGAGGGATGGAAGGCTTGGTTGGCCCGGGCGACTCACGACCCAGGATTTGATCCCCGGACCGCTCGCGTGGTAAGCGTGCCACTTGCCACTACACCACTTCCGCCCTTCAAATGTATGACTTCGAAAAATTTCGAAAAAACAAACAAGCACAGCAGATAGGAGACTAGTGGCTGCAGTCATGAACGAACCTCTTCAAGGATGTCCTGGACTTCACGTGGCTGGAGAGATGTCAGTTCTGCCACTTTGTACTGTTCAACGTTAAGTTTACTCTAGAACGAAAAGAATGTAAAAAGCAGTACCAATTAGTCGGCAGCATACCTTCAACACAGCAATCTCCTCTTTGAGATTCTTATTCTCTTCTAGGGTCTGTGAAAGTGGAACTCTATTAGGCCGAGGTGGCTTTGCCCGAAGAACTGCATATATTGCCAGTAGACATGTCTGCAAGAAGCAGTTATTGAGTGTAAGTGGAAATTCAATCATTTCTAGAACATACTCAGCCTAGAAGTTCTTGCCGATGATTTTGAGCTGACTGGTAATTGAGGTTGCGAGAGAGACAGACGACCAGAAGACGGCACTGAGTTAGGCAAGTTTGACTGTGTTGGTGTATTCACTCCTCCCAACACAGAATTATTCGGAGATCTGAAATAAGCGCAAACATTACAACTGAGAAATGCTCAAATCTCCGCTAAAGGCTTTGCTCGGTAGGAAGGTATAGTAACTTCATTATAGAGTAATGAATTAACAGCACTACAGATGTCGATAAACATATCACATGGTCGCCGTGTTATAATGACACGGATTAGTAATCTCAAGCCTTAGAAATCCTGATAATCCATGAATAGTTCCCCATTAATTCTACAATGACATAGGCCGATGCTTTCGAATTAGCAACCGATGTCAAATATTCACATTATGACTTCAAACCTTACAATTCTTGGGTTAATGTGGTTGCCGATGCGTCCCCATCGCCAGCTTCGGTTTTTTCTTCTTCGAAACTACTCAAGTCACTTGTTATATTTACGCTCTGCTCCTCACGCCAGTTAAATTCTTCCATGGTTCACTGAAAAACAAAGTATCAATTGAATTAAACCACTAACATATTACGTGAGGAGAATTCAGAAAAAAATTGAGGGGATCGCGGAAGCGTACGGCAGACATCGATTTGAAGAACGGGAGAAAAAGAGAAAGAAGGATTCGTAATCAAGATTAGGCGAATAAAGGCCCTTCCCTTATGGATCAGAGGATTAGCGTAAAGCAAACTTCGTGGACCCACGTGAAGTACGGAAAGTAACCAGGACATCGGGACTGGCTCTTTTGCTTACTTCTGCTTTTGCCACAGTTCGGGCCAGGGGTCTCATCCAGTAAGGGGGGGCATCAAGTGGCTGCCCTCACCCCACCCAGGCTGCCTACACTTCCCCTGGCGCACCGGTTTCTCGAAGTACGGGACCCTGTGAGCCAGGGGGAGTGAAGGCAGTCTAGGGGGTGGGGTGGGGGATGAGGGCAGTCACTTGACGTTGAATCACAATGCCCCCCCCCCCTTACTGAATGAGACCCCGGGCCAGTAGCTTGCGCAAAATAACAGTTGAACTTCCCTGATGAGAAAAAAAAAACATATGCCATGGTTTCAGAAAATAGACTGCTCTGCTAACAAATAGGTTTCGGTGCTAACTTAGTTGGGGGGCCACGCGGCGGCGCGGCAGTCTGCTCGCCTGGCATGTTCGGAAATCCGTGGGCCAGGGGGAGTGTAGCCAGTCTAGGGGGGTGGGGGGTGGGGGCAGTCACTTGACATGCGTGAAAAGCTGGAATGTTCGAGTTTACACTGTCTCGCTCGAGAGAGCCCAGGTGAGCAGACTGCCGCGCCGCCGCGTGCCCCCCCCCAACTAAGTTAGCACCTTCGATAATGGAGTGATGAGCCCATTTGCACGGCTTGACTTTTTCCCAATATAAGCGAGATGAACTTGGAGCAACCACGCTTCGAGATTTTAAGCAAAAAGAAATAAAAACACAACAGAAGCAATAATATCTATGATGAGCCAATCGTGAATGAAACTGCTTTTCTGCGAACCCTTGGTTCAACGGGATTGTGTCACCGCCAAATTCGGGTGGTTTTCGTGGACGGTATCTTCGGGTTGCGGCGTCCACGTTCGCTACCCAAACCGGTGGCTATATCATTACCCACTATCCGTAATGAAGACTACGTTTGTATTCTACCGTACCGGTTCGTGGTGACCGCTCTGACACTGTGCTAAGTGTGGTGGGCGAGTTTCTCGCTCAGACTTTGCATAGCTCCGCGGCCTGACATTTTCTCCTGCTGTGGTTAGTGGGGGGGGGGGGAGGCGAAGGAGCGCGTGCTAGCGTTTTACACAGTATATGTATTATATGTATAATACCTTCGCCTTCAAATGACCAGAAATTGTGCAATTGCAGAAATTGACGTGGCATTAACGTGGCATCGATTCAAGAACATCTTTGAGCACACGTGATGTCACCTTTTCATCGAGAATTTAGCCACGTGTGCCAATGCCACGTCAATTTCTGCAATTGCACAATTTCTGGTCATTTGAAGGCGAGGGTACCTACAGTCCACATCTCGAAGTCTGATTGGGCGTGTCACCGGAAATGACGTGGCAGCCACCGCACTTGATAGAAGTTGCGCGGATAAGCTGCTTCCAACACGCTTTGCTGATATCTGGCGGAGTATTTTATCCACACAACATCTATCAAGTGCGGTGGCTGCCACGTCATTTCCGGTGACACGCCCAATCAGACTTCGAGATATGACTGTAGGTACCGCCAATGAAAGATTGAGAAGATCTTGCACAACTTCAAAGGAACTGCCATTGGCGAACATCCAAGTAAGGACGAAATAGTTAGAAGACTAGCAGTACGTCCAATGATTTGTAGGAGATTGATTTTGCTATAGGTCGGAGCGCTGGGCCAATGTAGCAGCTTACATCAATCCAGTACAGCATGACCAGGCTAGCTTAGTTCCATGGTGATAGTATTGTATCGGAAATATTCCAGGTTGACGTGACTGACCGTAATATTTGCAGTTTCATAGATGAAGGCAGTCTACATACTAACAGCGATTCCAGTGTCAGGTGGAAATCTTTCTCACGTCCAACCCTCCCCCTGCTCCTTAATACTAATCACGAACAAAGCACGTAAAATAAGTGCTTTACAAGTATGATCTGCTTCTATCTCATCCACAAACTCAAAGTGAGGTCGTTCACTGATGCAATGACATACAATTCACAGGGGAAAATGGCTTGTGCCCAGTTCACCCTAAGAACATGACACTTGAGAACGTTTGTCATCTAATGTACTACCTCATAATACTAATTACCCACTCTTGTCACAGTTCTCTCCCAGAAGGTGATCTGTCCGATTTCACCTCGTGCAGAGGAAGAATTAAGCGTTGGGAGTATCAGATTATAGGTTGGCCGGCCCTAATCTGAGGGTGTGAAGCAGAACATTATTGGCTATAAATTTAATTATAAGGAGTATGAGAAAGGGGAAGACGGGGTGGAGGTAGTGAGTGACGACTGACGACTGCCGACTCCTTATCTCGGGGTCGACGGGTACTGGCCCTTCCTTCGGTACCATCAGCCGGGGCCACGTCCATCTATCGAAGACGTGGACCCGACAGGAGATTCTCAGGGGCAAACCTTCCACTTGACGTTGTGGATCAATCTTTCGCCTGATAGTATAGCAAAACAGCCTCCATACATCATGCATATCAACTCTTTAAAGGGAACCAAGAGATCATGCCGTATATTTCGAGTTGTCAGATGCTCTGGAACTGTAAGACAGTGGCAAGAACAAGTCGCATCGAAGTGAGCTTCTTATCAACGCTGCCTAGTTATTGCTAATTTGAACTCCTTGGAAGCGATTGTGTTCATTCTTATACTCGATATCCGTAAGTTGGGGTAGGCGTGTCACCGGAAGTGACGTGCACTTGATAGAAGCTATGTGGATAAGCTGCTTCCAATACATCGCTGGATATCAGCAAAGCATGCTGGCAACAGCTTATCCACGCACTTCTATCAAGTGCACGTCACTTCCGGTGACACACCTACCCCAACTTTCGGATATCGACTGTAAAGGGAATGGAATGAGGAAATTTT